CATGACTCCCCTCACGACGCCGCCATCTTGGCTCTGTCCCTCACGCGCGCCTGCGCAGCGCCACCTCCCCTGCGCGCACGCGCCCGGCAGCGGCGGCGCGCGCTCTTCTCTTAAAGGGGCCGCGCCTCCCTCTGAGGGAGCGTCCGCTCCCGCCCAGACCCAGAGCGACATCAGAACCTGCAGGCCGGCCCAAACTCAAATCATACAACCAGACCTAGACCTAGATCTCAACACACCCCCAGAACCCAAATGTGGGCTTCGACCCAGGCCCAAACAAAGATCAAAACTGAAACTCAGACCCAAACCTCCACGTAGGGCCAGACCCCTCCCAAACCCAAAGCGAGACCGCGGCCAAGCCAGCCCCGCCCGGCCCAGCGATGGCAGCGCTGGCTCTGGGGTAACCCCATGGGCCCGTCCCGCCACACTCCGTGGGAGCAGCAGCCCTGGCTCAACACTGAGCCCTCGAGGAAGCTGCTGCCCTTTCATCCCCCCAACTAAAGCTCCTCACTGCCAGCATCTTTTGCAAGAGACCCTTGCCCAATATCCACCAGGGAGGAACTGCTGTCCTGCCGCCATGCCCACAAGTGCTCCTCAGGGTCTATAAAGTGTCTTTCCTTTATTGATGAAAACAAAAAAACACAATTCAAAATACAAAGAGGTAATAGAAGGGCAGCTGTAGATGAGGATTTTTGGTGGTTATAAGGAGCTGGTAGAGTAGCGCTGGTCCCTCCTCAAAGTGCTATCAGGACACCTTGGGCTGGCTGTGGTGGAGGATGAGGATGAGGATGGGCACTGGGCTGGGCTGACATGGCCACCATCCTCCCTGGCCTGTGGTGGCTGCCAGATCCTCCTGGATCCCTGGTCTGGCTCTGAGCCCTAGCTGCACAGAAGCTGGAGGAGATGAAGCTTTGGGTGTCTGGTGTGGGGGCTCACAGGATCCTCACAGGATCTTCCTCCATGTGCTCTCAGTGCAGCGGTTCAGGATGAGGTCTTTGCTGGGACGGGGAGGAACAGCAGGTTGAGCCTTGGGCTTGTTGTCCTCTGGCTCATTTTTCTCAACTGCAAGTAAAAAAAGATGTACAGATGGGTCAGAGCTCTCCACCACACACCACCCTCATGGACATTCAGCAGTTTCCTACATAATAGCCACCAAAGCTCCTGCCTCTCCTCCTGTCCCTGCTGCAGTTAGTGGTCTTCCTGTAGGTCGTGGATTCAGGATGCACTCACCAGTGCCCAGCTGGGACCTGTGCTCAGGGAAAGCCTGTCTTTAGTTTTGCGTGAGGTCTGCCCATCTTTAGCTCTGGGAAGGTCATGGATACTGCATGAGGACTCCCAGATCTAAATGTTTACCTCTCCTTCTTTGTGAAGAGAGGTTATTTACAAGGGCCTGGACCAGTAGGACCAGGGGGAGTGGCTTCACACCATCAGAAGCTAGGGTTAGATTAAATATTAGGTCCCTTCCTACCAAAATGGAATTCTATAACTCTAAGACTCTTCATGAAACGCTTCCTTCTGGGGGCTCTGCTGACAGCTAACATACATGGTGATTGCAATGGTAATGGCATTATCATGGGGGAGGTTGGGTGCACAAAGGAAAGCACAGGTCCCAAAAGTGGGCTGACCGCCTTCCAGGACTGTATTCTGCTCTGTCTGACCTACAGCCAGGAATAAGAAAACTCATTGAAAGAAACCCCTCCCTGCACAGACTTTCACCACGGGAAAAGGGCAGATGGGCAAGGTGTGACCTCAGTGTGCCATCCTGCTCCAGCTGCCAGCACTGGTGGGGGGCATGGGTCATGCCTGCAGGATTCCAGTTCATTGAGACTTACTGATGACGTTGGCCTTGCTCTGGGAATTTCCCCTCATGTTCCGCCGGTTCTGGATGTACTTCTTGCTGTTCCTCCTATAGGTCTCCTGGCTGATTTGCTTCCGGCCCTGCTTGTGGATGCTCTTTATGTTTCGGATGGTGGACCTGCAAGGAGTGAGAAATAAAACTTTCCATTTTCATGCTGGCAGCTCTCACACCACACATTTCTTTCCCCACACTTCCTCCTCTGCTTCAGCCAAACCCCAATTTCTGCTTTTGGCTTTTGCCTGGTGGATGCCAGACCTTGAGGGCAGCCATCAGTGAGACACAATCTATGGTGTGTTCAGAGGCAGCTGGATGATGCTTTGCAAGCAAACATTGATGGGTGAACCCTGAGCACAAGTCTGGAAAATAATGATAGGGATTGGGGAGGAAGATTGGACTTAAGGCTGGAAGAATGAGACGGGCATGAGGTTTATCCACGAAAGCCCCAGAAATGATCTATAGCTCTTTGATGAATGAACATACAGCACCTATCCTGGCCACAAAATTGAGGTCCCTGGTTCTTCTGCCCTCTACACAGAGCTTCTCCTACCTCCGTGGAGGAGCACCCCGGTTCCTCAGCTCACTCTTCACAGAGGTGTTCACCTCCCCAGCTTTCTGCAGGTACATGGAGGGGTAGTAACCTGTGGTTTCATCCTTTCTGCAGTGCAACACAAAATAACATCACTTGCAATCGTGGCTCTGCAACCACCTCCTCAGTCCAGGAGAGAAATTTGATCATTCTTGTGGGTGGTCACAGAATGGATTGATTAGAGGGGACCTTAGAGGACCTTATTCAAATCCCCTGCCACAGGGATACCTTTCCCTAGAATAGGTTATTCCAAACCCCCTCCAACCTCGCCTTGAACTCTTCCGACTCAGGACATTCCATGAGTCATGGTTCATACCTATCCCTTGCTGGTGCCAAGAGGGTTATTTGTCATGTTCCTTGCAGCTGGGATGAAAATTGATGTTTTACAAAGCAAAATGTGCCAGAACAATTAGAGCTAAAATAACAGATGCTTTTTTTTTTAATTCTTTTTTTTCATCTGCCTCTTTCTTGGATAATTCTGAAGCCCTCAGCAGAGGAATCTTCAGCTGCAATGTTTAATACTTGGCAAAGAACAGACTCTGAGAAGCAGCCCTGCAAAAGAAAGTGCTGGGCAGTGGCACCACATTCACCATGGCTTTCAGAGCCCTGATGTGGAGAACCATGGATGCTCCCTTCCCTCTGCTTGAGTGCTGCTCACCTGACCTGTTCATGGCATCTCTCACCTGATAACCCACCAGCCATCAAGGAGCTTGTGGATGACTTCAATAGTATCACCCTCCTTGAGGGTCAGCTCATCCTCTTCCACAGCAGTGTAGCTTTTCTGGACGATGTATGCTTCACCTACACATGGAATGGGGATGGTGGATCATGTGCTGACACCTCAGGGATGGGGGCTCAACCTCCCAAGCCACTGAGAAGAGGAGGCACCACAGCATTATGAGACTCTACATTTTAGGCAAGACTCAGGCTGCTTCAGGTTTGGATTCAGACTTCTCCTAGTCTTGTCATTGCCCATGGGTAATCCCAGCCCCTTCACCATCTCTCCAGAAGAAAGCTCTTGGTTGCAAGCAGAGGAAGCACACCTATCTGCTCAAAAGTGTGTTCAGAATTTGGGTGGTGAAATAAGGCAGAAGGAAGTGTTTTCCTAATAGAGCCTGTTCCAGTGTTGTGAAACCCACAAAGCTGAAGCCTGTTGAGCAATTGGTACAAGTCTGCAGAATCCTTCCTCTGCTCCACATGACAAAGCCCTGCTGTCGTGGCAGGGCAACGCAGAGGGCAGGGAGCATGGCTGGGCCCTGACAAAAACTGCACAGAGGCAAAGCACTGTGAATGCCTGTGCCTGATTTGGATGCTGCACCATGCTGTTCTGCTAACCCAGCACCTCAGCCTTCACCCAGCCAGCTCAGCATGGCCACTGGGTAAACATCAGCCAAAACACAAATGTAATGCTGAGCTGCAGGTCATGGGAAGCTCCCAAGGCTGACACTGAGGCACCAAGCCATGAGATTTATTCCTCCTGGCAGTTCCTACAGCAGCATCCCCAGTGATCCTGCTCAGTCTGAATTGCCCAGCTTTGCAGTGAGCCATCTCAGTGGAGAGCTGCAGTGGGCTGTGCTCTGACACACACCACACCCCAGCATTTTACCTGCATAGTTAGGCTCCTGCTCTTCAGACTCATCAGGACCATCCAGTGGCTCCAGATAGGCAGCAGGTACCCAGCCTCGTTTATTCTTCAATTGACAAAACCACCAGCCTGCAAAGAAAGCAACCATGGGCACGAGCAGAGACTGTTGTGGGGACTGGCACTGGGTCTGTCCTGGCCAGGGCAGGTGCAGGCATCTCCATGTCCTGGACTAAAGGGACAGTGCTGGGACCAATCTCTGTTGACATGCTGCTAACAGAGAACTTGACCCGTTCATGCTGGGCAGGAAACCTCACAGGCTGAGGCATGGCCAGGATGTTGTACAGTTTTCTAGAACTGCCCCTCACCCTTCACTACCATAACTAGCTCACAGGCTGTTTTTGGACACAAGATGCAAGGGAAGTACTCATTCCTGCTGAAATTGTGGCAGGGAGTGGGCTGACCCTCAGGGGCTCTCCAGGGGGATGGACACATACCATTCTCGCTCTTCTCCACGACATCCACCATGTCCCCAGCTTTGAGAGCCATCTCAGATGTGGAGTTCTTCTCGTAGTCAGCAATGGCTCGGTACGTTTGCAGGACAATGGGGCCTGTGATGTCTGCATGAGAGAAGTAAGGGATGTTCCCTCCTCCAGCCCCCAACCAGAAACACCCTATGTCAGACAGGCTAAAAGCAGCCCCAGGACAGCCCAAAGTGCTCTCCCAGCCTCTTTCAGCCCCAAACCAGCTGGATTTCAGGACAATGACTCATTTCCCCTGAGGATTTGGCTTCCCAAGAGCTGCAGCTCTGGCACAGGTACCGTACTCTTGGTGAGGGTATCTGCCATGACAACCTCCCTCCTGAGCAGGCTTTGCTGCTGATGAAGCAGCCACTTGCACCCCTCGACCTCTTACCAGTGAGGTTTTTCTTGGAATCCTTTGGCAGGAGGAAGACCTCAGGCTTCTTGATCCTAGACAGGTCAGAGCAAAGGCAGCTCAATGCCAACCAGCCCTATCCATCAGCAGCGACACCCTCCCTGCAGGCTACTGCCAGCATCCAAAGCCAGGAATGCAGGATTTCCCTCAAAACAGCAGGCAGCTGGACTCACTGGCTGTCTGTGACAGGGTTCATGTCGTCATGACGGACCTTGAAGAAGTTGACCACATGCAGGCACCGGGAGATCTTGTGGGGTAGGTTGACCAGTGTGTAGCAGTACTCAGCCAGTGTGCCCTGCCTGTTCTCAGTTGAGCGTTGCCCATCAAACCACTTTGGGGCTGGGGGAGAGGAAAAAGGGCTCAGAAAAATCAGAACAGCTTGTTTTTAATACTTTCCAAGCACACTACTCTGGATCATTAACTTTGCCCACTTTGCCAAGTGTGTCTGGCCACAAAGTGCTGCATGACTGCAATGCGAAATAAGGTGAAGCTTTATGGAGCACAGCTCATGCAAGCCCAGAAATGATCCTGTTTGATCCTATTTCAGTTTTAGGGTAACTTCCACATATGTGTTCAGACTAAGCCCTGCTGCTGGGCCACAAATACAGCAGATGTACCAGGGTACCAGGAGGGGCTCAGGGGACCAGCCTGCAGTCAGAGTAGATATGCTCATCCCCATCCCACTGCTTATGGTGTTCTTGACTCCAGAGCTCTAAAATACTTCTGGCAATCCCAACCCCAAGCAGTTGAACTGCTTGATGGGGGTTGCTTTTGTGTGGTCAGTGGCACCCCCTGCCCCTCCCAGCAGTCTGACACCTGTCTGGTCCCCAATGCTCTCAGTTCCCCAAATGGAATAAGGATGCTTTGAACAGCCCCAGCATGGTGGGGGCAGCAGGTTGGAAGAGGCCCAGCATGGTGGTGTTAGTCCAGCTGCAGTGGAGCCCCTCCCAGCCTGGCACCCACACTGCTGCCTAGTGCAAGCTTACTCCTTCTCCACAGATGTCAAACACAACTGCAGCTCTTTTTCAGACTCCCTTCTGCTTCCTTCAAAGCAGGAAATTAAATAAAATGGGGAAGTTTTCTGATGTGCACCTTGCTTGGACACGAAACATCAGCTGTTTGGTTCAGGAGTTCATTCTCTGTCACTGAAGACATATTGCAATTTTCCTCTTACAAAGTATCTGTGTTGCCATAAGGGCATTAAGCCAACACCGGTGATGGTGTGACATAAAGGGGGCTGAGCTCAGCTCCACTCAGTTCAGCCTCCCCAAAACCAGACACTTTGCACCAGCCAGGGGTCATAGGGGTCACAGCTGATTCTTCTGGACGTGCCTCTGGGGTGCCCAGCCTTCAGTGAGGAAGGATGGGGTCTGCAGGGCTGCTGAGTGTTGGGAAGAACCACTGCCACTGCTCACATCTTTCTGGAGTCTTGATTTCAAGCCTGGTGTACAGGAAATACTGCACCACACACTTGTCTGGGAGGCAGCCAGCACAGCTCAAACCCCCAGGGAATTTCCCAACTAGCTGCTATTTCTATTCACCCCCCAGACACAGTGCTTCCCCCTCACCTGGCAAGTGCGGGATGATCCGGTTCTCTATGTTGATGTCCCCGGATTCAATGGGGAACATCTCCTTCAGTGCTTTCTGCAGAGCAGAGCCAGGCACAAGAGTCAGGACAGAACCAGGGGAACACTCTGTGACACCCACTCCTCTAGCTTGACTCTTTTCCTGGTGCTCGCCCTGCTGCCACTAGCACGTGCTGGCTAGATCCCACACCTTGGCACTCTACCCAGGGACACAGAGCCAATGGCTCCCAGCTGCAGGTGGCAAAAGAGATTGAAGGACTGTTCCCAGGAGCCTGTTTTGAACCAGGTTTGCTTTGAGACAATTTCAGATGGCATTCACCCTCCCTTTTCCCCACCCCGAGCCCATATGTCCCAGGAGGACTCACGTGGAATTCATATATCTCAGTAAAGCGGCGGTAGACGACCTTTTCAGAGAGGTCATTCCACTTCACCAGGAACATGTAGACCTGAGGAGCAAAGCAGAGGCTGCAGTTTTGCAAGCAAGTGGGACACCACACCCCACTGTGCCCGGGAAGCCCTGTGGACAGTCCAGTTTCAGATAAAATTGAATATTTTCCTTCTACCACCCCAATGCGAGTAGGTCTACCTTGCCAGCAAATAAACTGGGCACTAGGGGAGCTTGGAATGAACAGAGGGGACAGAAACATGCAGGTGGGTGGGAAACAAAGAGGAAAAAGCCCTTTCTAAGACTGCAAAGTAACCAATGGCTTGCAAAGGAGGTGCCTGAATTCTTGTGTGTTCAGGACATTTTAGTCTCCTGCTGCCTCCAGCTCATGTTATCAGCCATGACCCCCTTAAAAGGAAGGATTTAGACCCTCAGTCAATTTATCTAAGGAAATTTGTTGGCCATGCATTTTACCCTGGCCAGTCCTCAATCCTCACATGCCAGAATGCTTCTGAGTACTCACATAGTGCTGGCTGGGGAAAAACCTTTTCTCGTAGCCCAGCAGTTCAATGTGTCGGATGAAGACGTCCCCCATTGCTGCTCCTGCCCGAAATGTTCTCCTCCGGACCCTGCTCCTGCTTGGCTGGCTGCTCTCCTCTCCCCTGGCACTGCTCTGCTTCTTCTTAAAGCCCTGGGGAAGCGGAACTCCCGCTGCAATCACCCAGAATTGTTTACCCACTGTGGTTTGTATGGAGTTGGTGTTTCCCGTAGCAAGTTCCCAGCCCAGCCCCTCCAGTGGCTCCACAAATGAGGAGGAGGTGAGCCCTTGTTAGCTTGTAAAGAAAAAAGCTTCCTCTGGCTGCATTAAAAACATTAAATGCTAACAGTAGCCCTCCCCTGGAACTTGGGTGTGGAACTTGCAGCTTTTGCAGATCATTTGCATTTGGTTTCTTACTATTTTAACACGGGGACTTCCCTACGTGCAAGGCAAAATTACACAGCCACAGATACTAAAACAGATCCATCCAGGGCTATTTGGATTCTGCTCTGTTAGTCACCAGATAACTGCTGCTTATGCAGAACACCATAAACTTTTTCATAAAAGCTAATTTCATAATTACAATTGTTTGTACTAAATTTAGAGCTGCATTACAGACAGTACATTACTGGAAACCACTTAATTTACATGTTTCTTTCAGTTTCCTCATTCTTCATTTTGTGATGTGAGAAATGAGAGGTTTTAGATGCCACTGTTCGTGAAGGATTAGCTCACAGCGAAACACCACCTGTAACTGTGTGTGATACACTGCTGAGTGTCCCATCAAATGTCTCACAGCTAATACGTGGCAAGGAGCACGATTTTAGAAGAAAATTCTCAGAAGAGGAACATCCCATCTGAACAAGCTAAGTTCTGTTTGCACAGTCTGGCTTTTGGAAGCAGGGGGGCTACGGAGGTGGCTTCTGTGAGAAGCTGCTGGAAGCTTCCACCATGTCTGGCAGAGCCGATCCCTGATGGCTCTGAAGATGGACTTGCTGCTGGCCAATGCTGGGCCAGTGAGAGATGATGGCAACACCTCTGTGATAACATATTTAAGAAGCAAATCGAAACGAAGTGGGGCACACATGGTTTTTCCTAGCCAGAGAAGAGGAGGATGTGAGAACATGTGAAGGAAACATGGAGACACCAAGGTCAGTGGGGAAGGAGGGGCAGGAGGTGCTGCAGGTGCCAGAGCCGAGACTCCTCTGCAGGCTGTGGTGATGACCATGGTGAAGCAGCTGTGCCTTGCAGCCCATGGAGATCCACAGGGTTGCAGAGATTCACCCACAGCCCATGGGGAAGGATGGAGCAGGTGAATGCCTGGAGGAGGCTGTGCTCCAGTGGGAGACCCGATAGCAAGAGAGGCCTCCAGGCTGTAGCAGCCTGTCCTTGGAGAGCTGCAGCCTGGGGGAGGAGAGACCCATGCCACAGCAGTTTCGGGAGGACCGCTGTTTGTATTACATTAGATAAGTTCCTGGAGAATCATCTCCCGTGGGAGGGACCCCATGGTCTCACAGGGGAAGGACTCCTCTCCCAAAGCAACAGAAGAAAACCTCAGGTGATGACCTGACCAAAACCCTCACACCCTGTCTCCCTGTGCTGTTGATGGAAAGGACAGAGGGGCTGGGAGAAAAATGGTGTTTTTAAGGATTTATTTTTCTTCTAATTATCCTCCTCTAATTTTGTTAGTAACAAATTAACTTTGTACCTCTAAGCCAAGCCTGTTTTGCCCTTGGAGTGTTTTCTCCCAGTCCTTATCTCAACTCATGAAGCCTTAATTTTTTTCTCTCTCCTCTGCCCAGCTGTGGCAGGGGAGGGCAAGTGAGCGACTTTTGTGGGTACTTGGCATCTGGCCAGTGTCAAACCACAATGGAAGTTTCTTGAGTTCATTAACTGATTCATGTTTTGGGAAACAAGGCTGGGATCTTGTCTTGGTTTAGAAGACAGGTGTCTGCTAGGGAGGGCAGGAGCCTCCCTCAGAATGAAAATGCAGACCCCCTCCCTCTGAATTACTGTAATTTTGAAATCAAGGGGTTCTCAGGCAGAGATCTGGGGATAGGAATAACAGTTCTTTACTAGGAAAATTAAAATTCAGTAGTATAAAACAAACCACTGACAGAGTCAGAATACAACCTGACACTCTGTTGGTCAGTGTTGGTAACAGTTCCATTAAATGGTGGCTGCTGTCCTCCTGCAGTGACAGACGTGGTTCTGTTGAAGCAGTGATCCTGTAGAAGGGTGTAGCTTTCCTCTGAAGGTCCAGTGATGGTATAGATGGGTCTGGTCTTCCTCTGGGAATCCAGTGGAGAAAGGCTGCCTGTGGTGTTCCAAATCTCAGATTATATCCAGGTAGGAATGCTTGGCTCCTCCCCCTGGATGGAGCATCTCCCAGTGGGATGATGGAATTTTATCACTCCTGCAGTGAGACTCAATGGCCAATTAACAGAAGATATTCCCTGGAGTTATGAGGGATGGGTCATGAAAGAGATAAAGAACACTGCCCCACCTGGTATTAACAGATGGCAATAGAATACATACTATAATACATCTTGCATTGCAACCCAAGACAAAGGTATAAATATTGGTGTAATTATTTTGCCAGACAAATTTCTCACAACTGGATATAACTCAGAATGTCTGAGACCGAAAAGAGCCTTCAGCATTGAGTGCCAACACACCTATCAGCATTTCTGCCCACCCAGCAGTAGGCCATTCATGATGCACACCATGTAAGGACTCCAGTCCTTCCAGCAAAACCATTGCAACCACTTTCACTTCATTTTTCTTTCAGCTCCTGCATACAAAGTTTAAGTAAAGCCACTCTGCTGTAACACACTTGACAAGGCAATACCCTGGAATTATTTATTTTCCCAGCTCCTTTGCTGTGACAGTGCCCTCATTTTGAGTGAGCACTAACGACTCCACTGGCAATAGACAGCTGGGCAGGCAGCTGTGCTAAAAGTGCCTCCTAAAGAGGGCTGTGAGTAATGAAGGGATGAACCATCCTAATTTTTCAGAAGGGGAAGTCAAGCCAGCTTAAAACCTGAGGAAAGCTGCATGATCTCATTTCCCCATTCTAAAAATGTCCAGAAGCAGTGAAACCTGGTCCCTGCCGGAGGTTCATTAGTTCAGAATGTTTGTTCAAGTGAGCAGCAGGCAAATGTATTGGTGGTTCTCATGTGGACAGTGCCTGTCACTGTTTGGGAGACAGGCACGTGGCTGAGCACACAGAGTTCATTAGACAACACCAAAGTTTATTGATGGATGCCTTCTTTTATAGAGGCTTCACACTTCCCACGCTCACACACTTGACTGGTTGGGGTCTTAACTGTGCCCAGCTCACTGGCCAGTCAGATATCTGCATTTAGAATTGAGTGGGATTGGCCAGGGTCCCGTTTGAGTTTGAATACAACCTGTCATTGCCTCACTCAGGAACTTGTTTACATCAATTCTCTAACAAGCCAGGTTGGTCGAGTTGTTTGTTATGGCCAGTTTATCTGTGCAGCTACAGACCAGCTGTAGCTGTCACAGTTCCCCCTTCTTCTGTTAAAAACTTGCAAAGTGTTCTTTGTCATCCTCTGTGCAGACAGGATGACTCGAGCCTAGCTCAAATAAGGCTTTTCAGCCAGCTTGACAAGCCTAGCCCCACCAGCCAGTGATGGATCTATCCCATGTCACTGGGGATGTAACATTCATATCCAGGAGCTGTCAGATGACATCACCAGCAACACAAGATCTCAAGATGGCATGCCACAGGATCATTACTTAGAAGTTACAATTTTATAACTTATCTCTAGAAACAGAAAATAAATCAGCTTCAGAACCATGAGAAAATCAACTAACAGAAGAAACAGTTTGTCTTACTTGGTTTGTGATTCAAGTAAATAGAATTAAATAGAAAAAATCCTTAAGTCCTCATCTATTTAAATATATAAAATCTTCTTATTTTATATAAAATCCTTAAATAAATTGTCACCTCAAGAGTCCCAGATCTCCAAACAGCAGTTGCACAAGTTGTTTCAATCACTTCTCCACTGGCTGGCTGGGGGGCCACCAATTCTAAACTATCAAAGGAAACATCCTCTTGTTTCAGTTAGGTTTTACAGGAACTTCAGAATACTAAGAATTTTACAAGACTTTTAGGGATAATAACTATACAAATTGCATAAATGTAAAAGAAAAGGTCAAATTCAAGATTTTAGACTTATTTCAAACTTTCACTCTAGGTTTTCATACTTACATAGAATCTGCTTGTTTTCCATGATTTATAGTTTTGGGACTCCATACAAGGCTATCCTTGCAGGCTGACATTAATTGCAGGATGTGTGGCACAGCACAGGGATGTAGAAGTCTATGCCTTGGGTTTTCCTCTGCATGGTATATTCTTTTCTTTGAAGGAATTATGATTAATCATCAAATGGAAGGTGACAAAACTGTTATGTTGCCATTATCCAGTTATTACAAAGTGTGTTCAGTCAGATATAGGGTTTTATCATCTGTATCTGCATTTGTAAGCATCAATACTGTAAGGTGATGAAGTCCAGGTAAATATTATCATGAATATTGTACAGTGTATGCATTAGCACAAATCCTCTTCAGAAACAGTTTACTATGAAGAGTCAGGGAAAAACATTTCAAATTTACTATGCTTTATAATAAGATTTTCTCCTTACAAACATATTTAATAGGTTTCCTTTTGGTGTTGTCTAACCTTCCAAGCTTTAGTGATCTATTTTATAACCCTGCCTGGTGTGCTATAGATTTGTTAATTGTCAGATAAACTAAAAATAGCCAACAGCTTTTACCCTTGAATAATATGTTGGCACAATCTAAATGACCGAGAACAAAACTTAATTTAGATTTGGAAATCCCATAACTGAAAACGTATGATTTTTGGAAGAGGAAAATAAATACCTTAATGCTTCTTTTCTCTGGAGGAAAACAGCCTGGAAAATTACTGTGAATTTTATATGGGAGAAAATTATTAAGTTAAGCTAAAATCCTTAAATATTATACAGTATCATACTGAATTTTAATGCACATTTGAAAGAAAATGATGCAGTACCATCAATCATAGCATGAGGACCGAAGCTGCTGAAGGTATACACAGAAGCCAGTATTAGAATGGGTGCTTGCCTCCATGGAAACCAGTTGTCATGTCTGATTTTTGAAACTTTCCCAATCCTCTGATGCATGTTCTACCTGCCTACAGAATTACTGCTAGGACTTGATTTGTTGTAAAAGGCATAACTGTGTACTGCATGGACAGCCATGAAAAACATCAGAAATGTCTTCATTTATTCATCAGGGAATATGATTTATCATTTGTGCACAATGTAATCATCTCAAACTGATGGCAGTAAAAGAGAAACCTTTACAAATAATCTGTGTTCTTAAAGATTATCATATAGCCAGAACTGGACAAATTTGAAAAAAAAAAAAAGAAAAGAAAAAAGATGTGCATGAATCTTACATATTGCATAACCAGGACTACAGGGAACTTAATTTAATTGCTGTATTCACAGAATATTCCGAGTTTTTGACATAGTAGGACCTAGAGCAGGTTGTAGCATGTTTCCATAACTAGCTCTAGATGAACAGAGGAGCATCCCTCACAGCCTTCAGCAGAAAAGCTCTCTCACACACACACATCCACACAACTACTGCCTACACTAAGACTGCAAGACCAAACCCATCATATATAAACTGTGTGATGCTCTGATATAACATGGACTTACTACTTTAAATTAACAGAACAATAAACAGAACATTAAACTGTGATGGGGTTTAATTTCAGTTGGTTCCTAATCCACCCACTGGAATACCGACCATTCTATCTCATTAAGGCATACTAATCAAATGAAATGAAATTCATTTGAATTCATCAAATGAACCGGTTCATCTTTTATTTAGGAAAAAAAACATATGAATTGTGACAGATAAAATAGGAAAAAATTGCTAAAATATACAAATAATGTGGTCCAATGATACATTAAAATAATAGCTGAATATTCACGTGGAGTTTTTTTTTTCTCCAAAGTAAATAAACGTAACTCTTTACAGGAATTTTTCATTACAAAAACTAGGATGTGTTCAGGTACACTGAAATTCAGCTTTATTGGAAAATGTGGACAGCCTCAGCTAAGTCCCTGATGATTTAAATCCCTGCCATC